GAAGAGGAGGAATGTCAAATGTTAAAGTAAACAAAAATTGACGCTAGGAAAATAGGTTTGGAAAGGTATTTTTAATAAAATATTCAGATCAAATATATTTAAATGGCCTAATATGTGTTGCAAAAAAAAAGTGACCATGGTGGCACAGAGAAGAAGTTTAACTTTTCCTCGAGTTGTGTGAATAACAAGCACAACCAATTTGACAGCTAACGAGCTTTGATTGAGATTATATTTAAACGTACTTTTATGCCTTGCCGTTCGCATATGTATACACATCAAACTTCATGAGTACCTAGTACTCACGCCTTTTTTTCCAGGATGTTTTAATTCGTATGCCTTTATGGGCGTGGCTCCTGCCTGAAAATCGAAAAAAGGCAATTTTTTAAACTACCACTGAGGCCGCATTACTCTGGCCATCTCATTTATGCGGATATCAGTAGATGGGTATTCAAACAAGCTATCTAACGCTGTCTTTTGTGTTTATAAAATATAAAAATGCCATAACGTTATCGCTTGAAAACTAAAAATCGGGCTGTTGAAAATATACATTTCGGGCATTTTATCAAAAACTGGTCAGTCGATTTTATACTAGGTTTCCACAAATCTAGCCCAAAACCTTAGCTTTCATCCACTATATAGTTTATATCCGGGAAAACTCTTGTTGTGGAGATATTGCGATTCAAATTGAAAAAATGTCGCTCCAAAAAGGGTCAAATGGTTAAAAATTAACATATAAAAATAAACTACGAGACAATCAGACGAATACAGTTGTTTATTTTATCCAAAGTTGGTACCAAGTTGATAAGTTTTTATCATTTCTCATAATTTTTTTAATTTTTAATTTTTTCAAATACAAGGATATGATCATTCTTTTTCGCTTTATTCCGTATGCGAAAAATTATATGTTTCAATGGACACATCGATTTGAATACATAATTTAGATTTAGATAATATTTTTAGCAATTTCTTTTAGAAAAATAAAACATTTAGATTATTGTTTGTATTTTCGTCGATTTTAAATTTGCTACCCCAAAATAATTGATATCAAATAAAACACCTCTTTGAGGTAAAATTTTCGAG